AGTTGAGAACCCATCCAAGTCTGGCATGTCTGACCCCGGGAAAAGAGTGGACATTAGAGAGGCCTGTGGGTAAAGGCAACCCAGTCCACGAATGTTGTGGTGGATGAAGGAGAAACGCAGCAAGCAGACGGGTTGGGAGACTTTACAGCAAACACACACAGGCGCCGCGAGGGGGCGCTGTCTCTGTGGCAGAAAGAATGGAGGGAAGGCAGGGAAGGGGTGATGGGCAGAAAGGTACAGAGAAAGCATGGGAGTGGATACCATAAAGATATTCCAGTCCCCAGCCCTGAGAAGGGAAGGAAGAGAGGAGGAAGGGTAGAAGCTGCATTTGCATGTGGACACGGAAGAAGTGAAGCCCGCACTGGTGGAGGCAGGCGAACCTCAAGGAGCACGACCCAAAGGAAGATTTATCTGCGTCCTGCGGGGTGAGAAGACGCATAGGATCACTCTGGACAAGGGGCACGACTAAGCTGTGACCGCCCCGCCTCAGCTTTAAGCCCCAGGACAGCCAGACACCAAGGTTTAGGGCTCTGCTCCGCCTACGGTACGTGCTCTGCACATACGCGCCCAAGGTTCCTAAATGAGGTTTTTCTGAACTGCCAGACGTCACTGAAGGCTGGGTGCGGAAATCAGGGATAAGCAGCTTCCCTTTGTCTTCCGGTTTCGAGCTTTGAGGCTTTTAGTACACGTCTACTGCTGAGGTTTAACGAACGGGAAAACTCCAAGCCTCCAGTCCCAGACTGCGCAAACCTCTCACGTGAGGTCGTCCTCCTGCGACGGTTCCTTCCCCTGTCGTCTCCCCACCCACCCCACTTCGGGATATGGCACAGGGAGCCCAGCGAGGCCAACGCCCTTCCATTTGTTACCGTCTAGGGGTCTTGATAGGAGTTCCTCCCCTCGCCAGTTCAAGAATCAAAAGGCAGAAGAAAAAAATCTCTAGCAGCAGCGGGGGAAACTCTGAAATGCAGACGGAAATCAGTCCGTCAAGAATAGCTTTTATTTGGGGGCAGGAAGCAAACAGACCCTCTGCAAAGCAGAAGGCCAAAGCCCAGCTTCTCTTCTTACCCTAATTTAGTACTGGCCAGTTTGAAGACAGACAACACAACTGACTGGCCTATATCTGTTATTTAAATATGCCCAGATCCTTGAGCTTGAGTCAGTCCGTGAGCTGGGGTCCTCCTGGCTGGAGAAAAAGCCCATAAGGCTGTTTTAAATTGTCAGGCTTTGTCTTAGGTCAGGAAGGTGAGAAAGCAGCCAGCTACGTTGTAAATTCATAGTCTCTATTCCCTAGCCATGGGCCTTCACCCTATCTGCCCGCCTATCACGAAGGAACTAACTTATATAGTCTTCCACACTCAACTACATCCGCAGCACTTAACATTTTGAAATGTCTCCTAGACGGTCCCTCAAATGCTGATTTACCAGTGCTCAGTACAGCAAAGTTTTATGGCTCTTTCCTGTAAGGGTTGCCAGCTTCACTTTTATGGTGCATAGGAGTACTGTTTCCAGAATTGTGTGCCAGGCTCACACTTGGAACATGATCACTCTCAAACCCAGTACTTTGGAGACCCAGGAAGGAGGCTATTTGTGTTCTCTGCCAGCCTAATTTACAGTGTTCCACTCCAGCCTGGACTGTAAAGGAATATATAGCCTGGACTATATAGCCTGAACCCCTTTCTCTTAAGCAGAAACTGTTGTGAACATCTTGGTCAGTGTCTAGGACTGCAGGTGTTTCTGGGAATATATAGTCACATAAAAGACTCCTCCAGAATGATAAGCAAAATGCAAGGTGCCTGTCAACACAGCTTTGTCAACACTTGTTTTCAAATATTACCCACCCAGATAGAGTATCTTGAGATTTTGTTTAAAGCCATGAAATTGGACACTGCCATAAATTTATTGGCCATTTGGATTCCCTCACTCACGATGTTACAGATCCAAAGTGTTTGCCCACATCTTCACTGGGTTTTCTCTTTGACATGCTGGATACTCTACATATTTGAATACCATTTCTATGTTGGCTCTATGACCTGCAATGGTTTTTTCTCTATTGCCTGCTTTTTCACTTACACAATATGAACTTCCTGATGCATATGAATTCTTAAATTTACTATATCCGTTTCTTTGATATTCATTTCACTTAAAAATATTTGCCTATGTCAAGACGACAAAAAAAATGCTTGATAGTCTCAAGCAGACGCTTCATCCTCTTGCTTTTCCATTTAAATAATTTGTCTAGAACAGGGGCTATTAAACTATATTCCTGTATAACCTAGTCCAGATCTTGTATGTTTGGGCAAAGAATATGTTTTTATAGTTTTGTTTTGCATTTTGGAGACTGAGTCTTACTACATAGTCCTTGCTGACTTGAAATTTGTGACAACCTTCCTATCACTGCCTCTAAGTGTTGAGAGTTACAGGTGAGCATCACCAGGTCTTGCTTATTTTGCTAAACAGCCTTTTAATTGTATTCCACAGTGAAAATGACAGGAAATTCAAGTTTCAGAGTCCATAAATAAAATTTTATTGGACACATCCACACTGGTTTGCTTACAAATCATCAATAGCTACTTCCACATGCAGTCACATGTGGTTGAGTAGTGCAGTACACAGTTTAAAATACTGTTGCCCTTGCAGGAAAAAATGCTGACCTGTGGGATAAGGTATCGATTTTAACTATATTAAAAAAAAACTCCCAAATCACAAGATAACACTTCACACCACTAGAACAAAAAAATAATTATTTGATAAGGACATGGTAAGAAGTCAGAGCAGTCATACATCACTGGTAGAAACATAAAATGGTTCAAGTGATATTGACATCAGTTCCTCAAAAGGCAAAGACCAAGCAATTCCACTAAGGATCTACCCAAGATTACTGAAAACGTATTGGCACATGAGTTTGTATATTTGTTCAAAACAATATTATTAATAGTCAAAAAGTACATGCTGAAATGTCCATCAATCAATACGCAAAATATGGTTTTAATCATATGGTGAAATATTTTTCAGCCACAAAAAGGATTCCTAGTATAACATGACCTGGAAAATATATGCCAAATGAAATGAATTAGTGACAAAGGGCCATATGTTTTATTTTTCTATGGACATGCAATGTATAGAATTCCAAATACACACTGAAAATAGATCAGTGGTTGCCAGGGTCTCAGGAGCAGAAAAAATGCTACCAGGTACAAAAGTCTTTGCTGTGGTTAATGAGAAATGTACTGAGATTACAGAATGGACGTGACTGAACAACCTTAAGGGAGAATACTAAGAGCCACTGAACAGAACACTTAATTTTAAAAACTTGAATATTTGTTTATCAGAAATGACCATTAATGCTGAATATCTGTGGTTATCAAGCCTAGATACAAGCATATACTTATATATTAGTTATTTTTTTCTTGAACTTGATGGTTTGTAATTCTGAAAACATCTTTCAGAGTCACAGATGTTTTCTTGCAAATGAACTTTTTTTTGCTAACTTTTGTTCTCGACACCTGCCTCTACAATAAACCCTCTTCTTTAATTACTGCTCATAAAGAAATACCATTTACGGCTTAACAGCTCCCGCCTGTAACTGACATGATGGAAGGTTTCTCCCCCCCAAATCCTAACCTCTTGCTGCATGACATCACACCCCTTGCATGTCACACATGCAACTGCCTTTCACTATGAAAGGAAATGAATGATCAAGCTTAAATTCACAGGGCTGGAGATGTGCAATACATCCTTGGGGAGAGTACCTTCAACAGTTATACAGGTTATCACAGTTGTCTTCAAAATCTCTCTCTTTTTTTTTTTTTGGCATGGCAACAGTATTTTAATTAATGGCTCTCTATTACATCCCTGGCCCCACTTCACATCATCCATTCTAATCACAATCAATGGTCTCCCGGCTGTTCCTCAAATACAGTATGTTCTTGCCTCTGTAAGAATATTTCTTCCCTAAGTAACTACTGGCTCCTTCCCTCATATTTCACAGGTCATTATGAATCATCTCAGTGAGAATTTCTCTGACCTGTTTCCAAAACTGTAATCACTTCTATACAACACATACCTCCCATCCCCTTCCCCAGCTTTATTGTTCTCCCAGGCATCAACCACCATCTGATACATGATACATACCTGTATCCTTCCCTGCTCAATTGTAAACACCTCGTTCAGCTTTCTGCTATAGTAACAACTCTGACAGCATTGCAGCTGCTGAACTAAAAGAGACATGAAGTTGGACCAATCTAATGAACAATCTGCAGCCACACTTGAGCACTGATAACTTTAGCATCAAAACAATGTGGGTTAGTAGAAACTATTAAGACAGTGGCTATAATTATAAATGCTCCCAAAATCAGCTCTAGACATTGCATTCTTAGACTGTAGACATGCTTTATGATGCTTTTACCTTCTTGGCCACCTAAGTCTGTGGGGGTGGGTGGGAGTAAACTTAAGGGAAATCTATTCTTTATCTTTTCTACTCATTCACAGGATTTATTATTAATTTTTTAAATTTATTATTTTTAACTTATTATTAATTTTTGTTGTTTCAGTCAGGGTCTCACTTGTAGCCTTGGCTGTCCTGGAATTCATTAGGTAGACGAGGCTGGCCTCTAATTCACAAGAGATCTTCTTGTCTCTGCTCCATCACACCTCATAGGATTTAATTCTCTAAACCAGTACTAAAAATCAGGGCTGTTAAAATGGTGAAACGACAGAAGCCAGAGCCAACAGAATTCCTTTTTCCTTATTAAACTTTTTTTATGGGTATGGAGTGGAAGGGGTTGGTTTACTAACTTGCTGGCTAAGAGAACACACACAAAACACTTCTATCAGGAGTCTAAAAAAACTAGTGAGGGCCATCACCTATAGATAATACAATAAATTATCACAAACACTGTGGCTTAAAACCACACACCAGTTCTCTTCATTTAAGACTGGAATCAATTCACTTACACTAGACTAATAAGAGTAGGAAGAACAGGAATAGGTTCTTCTAGGGGAGAATCCATTTTCTTGCCTCTCTGGCTTTCAGAAGCTACCCACATTGTGGACATTCCAGCATTAAAGCCAGAAACGGGTAAATTAAAAGCTCATCAAAGACAGAAAAAGTAAAGTAAATGATCATTCTTTGAAATACTCTACCTTCACTTTCTATATCTGATTCCAGTCAACGTTCTCTGCCTATTCAGGGTCTGAGTGATTAAATGGGACTTATCTTGATAGTCCAGGCTAGTCTCCTCTCTGTCCTACTCCCCAGTCACTCAGGCCTAACATCAACAATCGCTCAGGCTGCACTAGAAGTCACCTGGAACTCTCCCAATTCAAATCTCACCTTTTCCTCTTTAGTCAGAAGTATTCATCTTCTTTAGAGTAGTTATTTTCATTATAGTACTTATTCTTGGTCATTTGAGACCAATAATTTTAGAAAAGAGCAAGGGGAAACAATTCACACATCACACAGAGCCCATGTGGACTCACTACAATTTCACAGCTGACACCTCCTCCTTGGGGTGCTTGCCCTCAGACCATGGCTGGTCTGGTGCTAATTTCCTATTCCAGAATCTAGAATGCAGACTCAGAAAGCAAGGACACTGCTAATATTAACACTGTGGCACACTCATGTTTTACTTGAGAGTAACAGACACCAAGTGTCCAGCCCTTGAGTGATGTAGACAGTCCACTAGGAGTTTTCATATGTCTTAGAGACATCTAACCCTATACGGCAGCAGTTCTCAACCTGTATGTCATGACCCCTGGGGGTTAAACGGCCGAGGGGTTACCTAAGACCATTGGAAATCAGATCTTTACATTACAATTCATAACAGTAACATAATTATAGTTATGAAGTTGTAATGAAAACAATTTTATGGTTGGGAGTCACCACAATATGAGGAACTGCATTAAAGAGTCACAGCAGTAGGAAGGTTGAGAACCACTGCTATATAGAGACGATCTGTAAGTTATAAATGATTGTATCTATCATGGGAACATGAGACCAATTTTTCAAATGATGAGGTTGAAAAGTATACAAAAGAAATATATATAAGTCAATCTCAGCACTCAATATTCTAAGATGAACTGTTTCAAGGGTTATCTTTGTAAGAGTCCGACAGTATCTTTGGCCTCTATCTACTAGGCACCAATAGCTTTTCCACCATGTGGGTGCACGGAACCAAACCAAGGTCCTCTGCAAGCATAACAAGTGCTCTTCACCACTATCTCTCCATCCCCATCATGTGACAGTTCTTCCTGTCAAAGAAGGGCATCCATACAGAAGACAGAGATGTCTGACTTCCTTATCAATCTACTCAACAGCTTTAATCATCTCAGAATAGACTTATAAGTCTCCCTCCACAGGAACCAGAAAATACAGGATCAAGTCAATATTACCAGATCAGCTCACAGGACTTTGAAGCTGTCAAACAAATTGTATAGCTTTCATTTAGCCAGTAGTGCACTGAGAAAGGACGTGCTTGGATTATTCCAGATTTTTCTTTAACTTTCTCCTCCCTATCCTCAGAGTGATAAGCCTCTCCCTCCACAATGCCATAGTCTTTACAATATAAGCTCCAGAAGAAATGATTCTAGGCTCAGGATGCGCTGATTCCAGAGAAAGTTCTGTCTATATACACCTGTAGATGCTTACAGCTTCCTGTAACCATGATCTAGCCTTTATAATGTCTAACAATATCTTTGGCCTCTATTCACTGGGAAAGGTTCATGAAAAACACCAAATTCCTTTCCTTTTAGCTTCACTTTTATATACACTATCAGTTATATAAAAATGTATAAAAAGGAAAAATTATACAAATGTAGTCTCCTAAGAAAGCCATTAATTTTTTCCATCACCCATTGCTAACCTAATATGAACACTCTTAACATGACTGTAATAATAATCTATTTTATGCCTTCTTTTGTAATGATCTAAGCATTTTTCGTATTGCAACAAAATCTTTAGATTTTGCTTCAAAGGACCTTAACTCTAAACAAATTAGTGTCCTAAATGATCATCAATGGTGAAGGCAAGTGATAACTGAAATACAATAATTCAATGTTTTCTTGTTCAACAACTAAAGCAATGGATCCTATTTCTTAGAAGCAACCCTTTCCATCATGGAGAGCACTTTAGTCTTAAAAGGGAAAACTTCAATCACAAACAACTCCTACATCCAGTTTCAGCTCACTAAGAGTCCTCAGTGTTCTGGCAGCACTATGAAACACAAGCACATCTGAACAGCAAATTCAACTACACACTGTGGCTGTAGTGGCACGTGTGTGAGATCTCTCACCACTATGCCTTTGCTCAAACAGGAAAGACAGTAAAAACTCCTGACAAAAGCTTTCTTCCTAATTACACTTAAAAGCTTGGAGTCTACTAAGCATTTGCTTATATACAGTGAGATGATACTCACTATTAAAGATGCCTCCTATTGATTACGTACTGAATGCATTCACAGGTTCTTTCCAGTTTAAGGAACCTGATGTAAAGGTAGACGGGTCTCTCTAGGGAAATATCTCCCTCACTTCCAGGTGCTCTACTTCAGTGTCTGCACTACATATCTGGTACAGGCTGAATCATCCCTGAAGCCTTTTCTACACTGATTACCTCTTCAGGAGTTTCCCTAATAACAGAATTAATGGGATTATAGGACATTTAATACTCAAATTCTTTTCTGTTAACAAGGGAAATCATATCTGAAGACACCTCTCCTTTGTTCATTCAAGAAAGTTTGGCCAACGTTACTTATGCTTCCACAGGCTGCTCTTCAAGGTGTGTTCTCTGATGTCGGACAAGACACCAGCTCCTTCTAAATATTTTCCCGCATTGAGGACACTGGCTGGGACCCTCCCTGTTATGAAGTCGCTGGTGTACTACCAAGTGAGTGTTCTGCCTGAAGGACTTTCCACACTTCACACACTGGTATGGAGTCTCCTTAGTGTGAATCCTCTGATGCTTGGTCAGACAGGAACTATCCCTAAAAGCTTTACCACACTGATTACACTCATAAGGCCTCTCACCAGTATGAATCCTCTGGTGCCGGATAAGTCCAGCAATATTCCTGAAGAGTTTACGACACTGGTTACAACCATAGGGCTTCTCACCAGTGTGAATTCTCTGATGCCTGATGAGGTACGCACTCTCAATAAAAGTTTTCCCACACTCTTTACATTCATAGGGTTTCTCCCCAGAATGAATTTTCTGATGTACAATGAGGTGAGAATTGCGATTGAAGGATTTCCCACACTCTACACATTCAAAAGGTTTCTCTCCAGTGTGTGTCCTCTCGTGCTGAGTGAGGTATGAGCCATCTCGGAAAGCCTTTCCACATCTGCTACACTCATAAGGCTTCTCGCCGGTGTGGATTCGTAGATGTACAGTAAGGTGAGAGATGTCAGTGAAGGGTTTCCCACATTCATTACACCTATACGGCTTTTCCCCTGTATGAGTTCTTTGATGCAAAATAAGGGATGAATTTCTGTTGAAAGTTTTTCCACATTCTAGACAGGCATAAGGCTTCTCGCCGGTGTGGATCCTCTGGTGTTGTGTCAGAGCTGATCCATCACTAAAAGCTTTCCCACATTTGCTGCATTTATAAGGTTTCTCTCCTGTATGAATCCTTCTATGGACAATCAAGTTGTAGTTCTTGGAGAATGACTTTCCACAATCACTACAGGTATAAGGTTTCTCGCCAGTGTGAGTTCGATGGTGTAAAACAAGAGAAGAGTTCCGTTTGAAACATTTGCCACATTCAGTGCATTTAAAGGGTTTCTCAATGGAATGACTTCTTTTTTCATTAAGAGATGAGCTCAGGGCCAGAATATCCCCAAAGTCCTTACCTTTGTAAAATTTTTTGCTTCTTTTCTTAATTTTTTTGTCACAAAGGGGAGTAGTAAAGTGGTTTAGAGATTTAATACTTTCTGTGTATTTATAGGGTTTGTCTTTCATTTGGTTTCTTACAAGTTGAGTGATTTCCATGGAAGGATGGATGGCTTTTTCACAAGCATCACCATCACCAGTTTCCTTAGCTGTATAACTCTGGGGACAACTATGGAAGGTTTGATCACAATCAAAAGTTTTAATATCTAAGTTATGAACATGAAAGCCATTTGTTGTAGGAACTTTCTGAGATTCTAGAAGAGCTGGACTTGTACTCAAATGCTCCCCCACACCACGATCATCACAATTTGCTTCCTGAACCCCTGTTTTCTCATCAATTAAAGGAGACTGCCTCATATTTCTTTCCTGGCTCTCACAGTTCCAACTGCCACCTAAAATGGAGAAGCAGAGTCCCTCTCTTTTAAATTCTTCCATTTCTACCTCAAAGGAAACTTCTTCTTCTTCTTCTTCAGAAACATTCTGAGCTATTATTGTTCAGTCCCATGTTCCATACTGAAAAGAAAGAAAAAGATACATTAAGGAAACAGATATATTTGGGAGAAAATGAAAAATGATAATGGGCTAAAGTATATTTTACTTGTTTTCATTTTCAAATTCATATCTGTAAAATAGGGAGTTTGAATGAGTGCCAAGGCTGAAGCTAAGTGCAGGTTCAAAAGAAGTGACATTACATTGTAATACTCTCAGAGAACAGGTCAAAGGAATACCATGTAAGGATAAATAAAACAAAAATAATTAACTCAGTATATGGGAGAAGGGAAGCCAGACATCTCTGTTCATTCTCAAATACGATCTTGGTCACTGCCTTCTTGTCCTCTATCACCAATACCCCTCATTGGAGGTCAACGCATATCATACGAGGAAAGAGAAAACCTAGCGCTATAAACCAGTGCTGTAAATGCCGCACTTAGGAGGGAAAGCCATAAGAATGAGGTCAGTCTACTCTATATAACAAATACCAAATCAGCCAGGGTTAAACAGTAAAGCCCTATCTATAAATAAATAAAGTATGATAACATAAAGCTCAGATTTGCACACGTTTGTTAAAAGCTGTAAATTAGTCAGTCAGCATAGATGGATAGTTTGGTATCCACTAATAAAACATAAATCTATTTTCTTTATTTTCCCTTTCATCATGCAAATCTAATCATAGTTACCTCAGAAAATAAGAACAAATGAATATCAATACACACCTATAAAATGATCTCTTTTTCAACTTTTTACTTTATATGTATAGGTGCTTTCTGTGCAAGCATATCTGTGTACCACACACATGTTTAGTGCCTGGAGAGAGTTTCATACGGTTGTGAGCCACCACGTAAGGACTAAGAACTAAGCCCAGGTCCTCTGCAAGAGCAGCTAATGCTCTTAACCACTGAACTGTCTCTCCAGCCCACTATGGAATGATCTTAAAAGAAAAGAAGAGAAAAGACAGAACAGTAATGGTACAAATGAAAGTTAATGTGATGGTCACGATTACTTAATAGCAAAGTAGAAAGAGCAAAAGAGATGGAAAGTTTCCTTCAAAGTACTAAAGGGAAAACTACCAGGTTCGCCAAGATTCAGGAGTGAGAGTAAAATAAAACAAATTCAGAAAAGCAAAGACATTCTTCAAAAAGAGGGGGACTAAAGAAAGGAGGGAACAGAAAGAAAGAGAAATGCTAAATGGATAAATCCAATGCTGAAAACAAGAAAAAAACAAGATCAAGTGTTTGCCAGATAAAGATCACAGTACAATACAACAGCAGTAACATGCAACAAAACAGATAAAGCATCCTCAAAAGGAAGAAGAAATCAATATATCCAAACACAGCAAGAGGCTTATTTCCTTTGAAAACAGGAAATTCAAAAAAAAAACTGCTGGACAAAGACAAGCAGCAACAATTTTCAATAACTAGCCTTATCAAACAGCTGGTTGAAAAGCCATGCACATTGAAAGTCAAATGTTTTCTAAGCACATGTGAAATATTTGCTTAACATGACCACAAAACAGATCAAAGAACATACTGAGCAAAGGCCAGACAACAGCATAAAAGACCAGTCTACTGAATACAGTACAGTCAAGCTAACAACCAGTCAACAGAAGAAAACCAAATACAAAAAAAACCGTAGGTAAAACAAACCTGCATTTCTTTGAAAAAGTGTTAATGTGATAACCTATTTTTTAGTGATGGATCTAAAAACCTTGATAAAAATAAGAAAACACCTCTAAGAAAGAAGAATAAAAATGCTATTATCACAAACCATGACAAAAGAGGCTGCAGTGAACTTAGTTCTTGGACAGAAAGTATTGTTTTTTAACACTTACTGTGAAAAAAGAAGACCACAGAGCTAGGAGTGTATATTGGAAGAGTGCTGACCTAGCCTGTCTAGACCCTATGTTCCAGCCCCAACATCAGAAACAGTAACAATGATGAATTCCTGGATATCCTAAAATATACTGTGTAGCAGGTTAATTAGTCATGGGGGCCTCAACCTTAGAGATGGATTTTCTCCAAGTTGTCATGACGAATTGATGGTATATACTAATATGAATAACAAAACCACAAGTGCAGCTGTGGGTAAAGTATGGTGTTCCTAGAATGGCTGTTGGCTAAAACACAATTATCTATGGCTCCTAAACTCGTCTGGATGAGTCACAAATTCCCACTGAGCAATGCTCCAGAACAACATAATATGCTCCTCGTACTTCCACTAAAAAGAACACTCAAGCTTGGTCATCATTTTTGCCACCTTACCAAAAGAAGGTGGAAAACATACTTGAACATGGAAAATTTGAGGCATTTTATATAATCATACTTTTACCACCTACTATTAGCTTGACAAAAAAAAAAACCAGAATGCTAGTGAGTTCACTTCTCACGCGATACCTCATTTATATACAATCTCTATGTGTCCAAAATGAAAAAAAATATTCCAAGAAATATTAGAGGACCTAAAAGTAAAACTAGGGGCTGGAGAGATGTTCAACAGTTAAGAGCACCTACTGCTTTTGAAGATGACCCACATGAAGGTCAGAACTACCTCTAACTCCAGTCCCAGAGGGTCAAGACCTTCTGTTCCCAGTGGGCACCATGTACATGTTACAGTTACACACAGAGACAAAACATCCATACACATAAAACTAAAATAAAAAGTAAAAAATTTAAGGTCTGACTGTCTTGTGAATAGGGTGGGTAACTACCTTAAGAATTTTTTAATTAATTCCACCTATAACTAATATTTATTTTATCATAGCCTAAAATATAACCAACAAAGTCAAAAGTCACCCACCAGATGAGAGATACTGTATCTAGAATATAGCTAGAACTCAGAGCCAATAATAAAATGAGACAGACATGTGGTCCACACCTATAATCCAACACTTGAAAGGAAACCATGCCCCGTCCCTGTCCCTGAATAAATAAACAAATACAACAATCCACATTTTTAAATGAACAAAGCAGAGATCTTTCTTATCTTAGCTTGCTTTCTGAATTCAAATACACAACAGCTTCATGGCTCATAGTCCCAGAGTCTGGAAAGTCCAAAACCATTGTCAGATATGGGAAAGGGGCCACTTCCTAGCTTGCAAATGAACAATAAACAAAAGAAGAGATGCCCAATATTACTAGCTATGAGAAAAATTCAAATCAAAGCAACACGAGGTTTCACTTCATATTCACTAAGATGCTGCGATCAGTCCCGTTTCTATGTAACTATTCCACAAGACAGAAAAACATACATCTATTTTTTTTAAAGTTTCACAATATTATTTGTGACATCCAAAACAAAATACACTGAAGAAACAAAAATTCAGAGAGTATTACAAAACTACAAAACCGAACAAAGAGCAAATACATGAATTTTGAAGATGTTTCCTAAGTCAAAAAAAATCAGACACAAAGGACACAGATTCTACAACTAATTCTATGGAATCTCTAAAACATACAAAAAAGCTACAGGCAAAGAGATGGAGCCAATAAAAGTGGTAGCTAATGAGTATGGGTTTTCTTTGGAAGGAGGGGAGGACTGAAGAAAATTTCTAAAATTGCCAGGCATGGTGGCATACATCTTTAATCCCAGCAACCAGAAGGCGGGGGTAGGTGGATCTCTGTGTTCAAAGCCAGCCTGGATTATACAGCAAATTCCAGGCCAGCCAAGATTACATAGAGACCCTGTCTTAAACAAAAACAGCAACAGAAATGCTGAACTGTATACCTTAAGAGGATAAACTACAGGGTATGCCCACACAGACAAGTTTTTGTTATTACTGTTACTTTTTAAGTGTACTGAATCCACGAAGATCAGATCTATTGGCCTACTCACCAGCTGGCACATTAAATTTCTGAGAAAGAAATGAACAGTTATGAGACTGTGCTAGCTTATGTTGAACTGCTCCTCTCTCAAGTGCTGGGATTGCAGGCAGGCATCACCATGCCTGACAAAAGTGTATATTTCTTTTACTGTTTTTTCAGATGAGAAAAATAGAATTAAGTCCTAATTCATACAAATTCTCACACACACGTTTATAAAATGACAGAGAAAAAACTTACGGAGGAGGGATCTCCATAAACCTTGAAATGATTAACATAAGCATGAAAGATGTAGCTTAAGGACAGTGATTGCCTAGCACATACAAGGTGCTTGGTTCAAAACCACACACACACTTAAGGTAAAACACAGACCTAAGAAAGACACATACAAAAATACAGAAAGCAAAATACAGAGCTAAAGAGTTATTCAAGTTGCTAGGATAAAGAAGTTTCTCTAAATAATGAAGTACACAAAACATACTCCAAAAAAACCCAAAATGTCTAACTATATGAAAATAAGTAATACACTATGAATCTTGGCTTTTGAAAATCAAAAAAGCAAAGAATTAAACTAGCACCCCTAAGAATGATTTACTCATGGCAGCAAGCACTTTAACCACATGATCAAAGACTAACCACTACCAACTTGACATGACTCCAAGACATATTTTACTCAGGTAACTATCAGCAAAACAAGAGAAGAATTTAATGTCAGTATGAACTGAACAGAAGCACACCCTACAAGATAACCAGCTATGTCTTTTAAAAAACATTCCTGTCAAAACACTAAAAACGATCATAGAGTAGAAATAGCATCAATAGTTGAAGGTGATTAAAAAGACAACTTAGAGCCAGGCGGTCGGTGGTGGTTCACACCTGTAATCCCAGCACCCAGGAGGCAGAGGCAGGGGGATCTTTGTAAGTTTGAGGCCAACCTGGTCTACAAGAACTAGTTCCAGGACAGGCTCCAAAGCTACAAAGCAACGCTATCTCGAAAACCAAAAAAGAAAAAAGAAAAAGAAAAGAAAGAAAGAAAAGACAACGCCACACATGATCCTGAAATGAATCTTGAACCAAAACTATTTTTAAAAAATAAAACATACAGGGGCTGGAGAGATGGCTCAGTTGTTAAGAGCACTGGCGGCTCTTTCAGAGGTCCTAAGTTCAATTCCCAGCAACCACATGGTAGCTCACAACCATCTACAGTCGGATCTGATGCCTTCTTCTGTCATAAAGGCGTACACACAGATACGTGTACTCATATACGTACACTCATATACATAAATTAAATAAATCTTTAATTTTAAAAAAAAATAAAAACTAAAACATACCAAGCTCATCCCAGTAAGGTTTCTTTGCAGAAAACTGTCTGGATTGGACTGAGTAGACCATATGATCAAAGGCTCAGAACAAAGGAAAAAAATAAACATGAATGTTTATTTACAAGAGAAGGGGAAGAAGACATTTTTCTTCCAAACTCAGTATGTGTCATTTTTTTATTATTAAGTTAAAATATTTTTAAAAAATTAAAAAATAAAATATATACAAGTAATTGCCATGTAATGGGCAGTTAAGGGTTATTGGCGAAGATAGAGATTTCTTTTTCTTTTTTTGTAAGATTTATTTTTATTATGTGCATGTGTGTGCCCACATGAGTGAATGCCATCTATGTTGGATGCTTTCTGAAGTCGGAACAGTGCGTTGGGTACCTTGGAGTTTTAATTACAGGTGACTGTATGTCTCAAGACTTGGGTGCTGAAAACCAAATTCGTGTCCTCTGGAAGACCAGTAAGTGTTCTTAATCACCAAGTCTCTCTAACCCCCACCACAAGAGTAACATTTTTTTCAGTGGTGTAGCCACTGGAAGTTGGTAGAATACCTATGCTCCTTTGCTCTCATGGAAGACAAAAAACAAAATAGAATGCTCATATTTTAAAGAGACTCTTCACTAAAAAATTTCAATGTAGTCTCACAATATCTACTATATTACTTCTAGTAATCCAGCCCCCACACACACTATATTAATATATGCTCGTATCGCAACTGTCTTTGATACACTCATTGTGTGTATAAAACACAGTAGACGTGTTTAAGAGAAAGAAAAGCTAATGTAGCAAAACGTTAATAACTCAACAATCTGGATGGTTTAATCACGATCTACTAAACTCTGCCAGCAGCTTAGCTGTGGGTGTGAAATCTTTGAAATTACAAAAGCTGAGAGAAGGCAGAGGAAGAACAGAGGGAACTTATTGGAGGGAGATAGACAAAAGCGTGTTTTTACAGGAAAATAAAACCACTGAAAAACCAAGGAAGAGATAGCAAAAGAGCTAAAAATCTCATGGGGGGCGGGAATCCTCCCTGACTACAAACATTATATAAACACACACACACACACACACGAGAGAGAGAGAGAGAGAGAGAGAGAGAGAGAGAGAGAGAGAGAGAGAGAGAGAGAGAGAGAAGGAAAACTACCTAGAAGGTTCGACGGAAAGCATCCACGCCCACTCGAATCAAGTAGGAGAGAGAGAGAGAGAGAGAGAGAGAGAGAGAGAGAGAGAGAGAGAAGGAAAACTACCTAGAAGGTTCGACGGAAAGCATCCACGCCCACTCGAATCTAGTAGTCCACTCAGCTAGTCCACTCAGCGCGAGACTGGCAGATCCGGGGGGCCCAGGCGCCCAAAGGATCTCGGCAAAAGCTTCGGAAGGGCCGGGCTCGAGACAAGGACACCGGGCCCCTAAGTACCAGGGAGGAAAGGGCCGGGACCACCTCACCGATAGCAGCGCGGAGGAGCGTTCACAGCAGTCAGAAAGGGACCTCTCTGACCGGGGGCGTGCACACCCGCCAGGACAGTAGCATCCCCGGCCACACCCTCCCGGTGAGCCCGAAACGCCAACGGCCTCCGTGAAATCCGACGCAGACGCTATGCACGCCACCCCCGCCAATACCCCGCTCCCCGACTCGCACCCGCACAACACTCGGCGGAGAAGATAAAGCATAGAACGGCGCCGAGGCGCGGAAGAACTCACTGTCGTCGGCCGGCAGCTGCCATGTTCACGGCGAGCACGCATGCGCAGACTCCGGTTCCGTGATTCGCTCACATCCTAGAGGTCCAGCCCCTTCTGACAGCGAGGTGCTGGTTTAAGAGCTTTGCACTGTTGACTGGTCTCTGCACTTCGTAAGAGACAGACTGCCTGGACCTGTCACCCAAGGGATTGCGAACAGGAAGAAACGTTTCTTCACCTTTATTTACATAAATACAATTAAGTCATTGAGGACTCACGGATATTCATTTTCTACCACAATTGAGAGGGCTGATTCTGGATACAAATTAGTCTCTCCCAAGTTCTCCCCATGTTAAGATTTTGTTATGAGTCTTATTCTTATTTACTACATAAGTTGACAAAAATACGTTTAAAGGGAAAAATGCTAATATTCAGCCAAATACACCTATTTTGTTGACAATCATAGGAGGAAATCATCTATTTTTTAAAATTTATGTGTATTGCCTGCATATATATCTGCATCTTGTGCATGCAGTGTTCCCCCCATAAAAAAAGGTGTCAAATCCCCTTGGACTGGAATTATAGATGATTGCGACGCCATGTGGGGGCTGAGAATTAAACCCGTCTTACAGAAGAGCAGTAAAAGCTCTTAACCTCTCTCTTCATATCTCCAGACCCAGGCTACATCCTTAAAAACAATTTTTAAAAACAGCTAAGGATTCTAGATAATTAGCAAAATTTTTTTAATCAGTAGCTAAAAATCAGTAATAACCAGTTGGAAACTGTATTGAAAGGAAATAAATGTTCTCAATCTTTTATGTTAATGTACAGAATTCTTTTAGAAAAATTAAAAGTGAGCATGGTGGAGGGAGCATGCCTGTGATCCCAGCACTTGTCAAAGAGAACCAGTTGGCCTTTAAAAAGACAAAACCAAACTTCTATAAAACAGAGATCAAAAATTTAGTGAGTTATTTTAACTTTTGTTTATAATTGGGTCTTGTGTCACTAAGTCTGACCTCAAATTTTAAGTGTCCTACATCTTTGTCCCTAGTGCTGGAATGTACCACTGTGGTCTTTTGAATAACACTGGCCCCATAGGCACATATATTTGAATGTCTGTTTCAAAAGGATTAGAAAGTGTGACCTAAAGAGGCCGTATTATACAGACCCATATTTCTACATTGTATGGCGGCCAGAATTTCAGGCCACAATTTGCACCTGTCACACAGAAGACGGTCACCTAGCCTCTTGAGACAAATTACAAAGGGTCAGGATATGCTAATGTCGCTCTGCTCCTTTGTAATTTGGGAGATCGCCTGGGAAAGAGCTGTTAATGTTTTACTTTTTGATTTGAGTAGTAATGATTTCATGTAAGGACACTGTTGATCTTTGTTGCAATGTCCACCAAAGTTTACAACTGACAAAGTAAACCCAAGGTCACAAGAGTTTCATAGCAGTTAACTGTAAACAAAGTTTAGTCGTGTCTGCATGGTCAATAGAAAATTGCAGATTCATGTCTGGGAAGGAGTAAGGCCAAACTCAGAAGTTGTATGTGCCTAGGCCTTAACCATTGGCTCACTCCTATTTTAACATTCTTATTTGAAAACACCTCTATGTAAAAGAAACATAGCCTCCACACAGGCAACTTTTACAGCAATTGGTGACTTGTGCTGGAACTCTTAATTCTCAGTTGATGAGACTTCTCCCAGAGTGGAGAAGGCTCCTTTTCCTCCACTGTCCCCTTCCTCCACTGTCCCCTTACTATTCCTTTTCTTTATATTCTGCCTCAACTGGACGTACTGAACTCTACGTCTCAACTTAAACTACATGTTCCCTAAACTATACCTGTCTTTCTCTCTTTCTATTTACATTTGAACTTCTCTCTTGAGTTGGGTTTTCTAAGAAGGTGACTTCTTGAATGGGGATGGGGGGGGATACAATGGTCCATGACTCATTCTTCTATTTAAACAAGTATCCAAGTGAACCTAGGAAAAGTATTAGATGTAGGGAACCATGACAAGAGCTATTTTCTTTTTTTCATAAGCTAAGCAGAAGGAAAAAAACTAAAGAATTTCCCAGAATCATACTTTAGATATGTGTTCTCCTTTGAGAGAGGTTTCCTTTCTGTGACATCTTAGACTTGACCGAACTGTGCACACTTCAAAGAGCTGGCCCAGAACCAAAGAGGGAAGATAGGTTGTTGCTTCCACTAATAAGGTGTTTATATCAGGCACCTGGGAAGACCCAGAATAAATGACTATTTGTGTGCAGCTGCCACACTCACTGGCCTGACATTTACCATGACCCAGTCAATAAGGGTGTGCAATGTTGTGGACATTAAAAAAACAAGGCTCCAGCAACCAGCAAAGAAATGATCCAAAAAGGCTGGGCAGTGGTGGCACATGTCTTTAATCCTAGCATTGGGAAGCAGAGGCAGACGGATCTCAGTGAGTCTGAGGTCAGCCTGCTCTACCAAGCAAGTTCCAGGATAGCCAGAACTGTTACACAGAGAGACCTTATTTCGAGGGGGGGGGGGGCAGAAAGCCAGCCATCATAAGCCACCACAAAGGAAGAGCAACTGCTGTAAGAGATAACGAATGCCCTTAACCCAAACCAAATGAGCAAACCCAGGAACTGCGGTTAGAATGGAAAGTTTTCTGTAACTGAACAGCTTGAATCTCAAATTTGTAAGCAGACAATTCAAACACAAGCTTCCGAAGGCTGGATGATAAAGTGAAAGAAAAATATCAAATTCAGAAGCAAAGCTTAAAATATTCTTTCTAGAGAAAGTGGAAAAGTTCAAACAAAGTATTAAATGGGGCATGGTAGTATATAGTCTCAGCACTTGGGCGGTGAAGGCAGGAGAATCCGGAGCTCAAGGGACATCATGGCCTACAATACAGAAGACCCTGACTTAATAAGACAAATAAGTTAATTCATGAGACGCTATAACATTTGCAAGGAAAACAAACACAAAGCTGGACATTTGGAGGCATTTCTGTAATCTCGGCACTCAGGATGTGGATGCAGAACAATCAGGAGTTTAAAGCCTGGACTACAGGGCATCCTGTACAAACAAAAAAACAGAATAAAACAAAAGAGCTAAAATAATATAGTGTTGAAGTCACGAAGGTCCTTCCACTCACAGAGAAGCACTAAGAGAATCAGGAATATTAATCACACAGGGGTGTCTCCTCAATAGCCGGGATAAAAACCAAATATCTGTATTGCATCCTGAAAGCTGAGAGTGGAGGTTATTAATGATCTGGTGACTGTTTTTTTACCTGATGGAGAAAGACCTCACCCTAATTCCCCAGAATGATTATCCCAGACTCTTCCCTCCCTGATCATTACCCATCCTTAGGGAAGATGTCATGTGTACTTTTATGGTCTGCTGACCTCTATGATATCAGAGACCACATTAGATTCTAGCCTTTTAGCTATAGAATACACCCTCATGGTCACATGTACTTTGTAAAAGAGTCTCTGTGTAATTACACCTTAAGCTTTATTGTGCCCCTGGAACAGAACTGATTGGACTGACTTGTTTGGAAACCTTTTCCCAAACTGCACTGTGTTTTTAAAAAGCTGACAATGAAGGCGATGAACTGTCTGCCATTAGACTCCCCAAAGTCAGTCTGAATCAGGTTTTCATTCTCATCTCCTATCAGGTTTGCTTCCCTTCCTGGATAACTGCAGGAGCCCCTCAATATAGATTTGATTCGGAATTGAAATAGCAAACAAAAATTGATATAGTAGAAATAAATCCAAACAGGCTTATCTTTGACTACCAATCAAATGCAAAATGTACAAATCAATAGTGTTGAAAAACAGATTTTTTTAAGTGCTTCCAATGCATGTTGGAGTAGTTTTATTAACATGTTAGGGACTGAATCTAGGGCCTTGAACATGCTTGGCAATCACTCTACCATTGAAATACACCCCAATGTTGAGCATTGTGTTTTAATATATTAACATTATAGAATATATGTTTCTATCAATTTGATGTATTTTCACCAAGTTGCATATTGGAAAACGCATATTGTACCATTTCACCATACTGCAAAATAGCCCACTGTATCCATGTTTGCAAAACCTTACGACATTTCTTTTAAAAAGTAGCAAGTCATATAATACACTCATATACTTCAAATATATTCTCAGAAGTACCATAGATGTCATAAAAAGTACACTAAGTATAAACAGAAGAATTGGATGTTCCTAGCATTGAATGATAAAAGTACAAAGAAAACAGACACACAATAAAAGACATTAACATGTAACAGGAAGACAGAGCTTCAACAAATGGAGACTGGAATGGACTGAAAGGCACTGAATGGTCAAATCCAAGTAGAAAGCAGAAAAGTTACTAAATATATGAAATACTGATCAGGCTGTTTTATAGAGAAGGAAATAATAATTAAAGTAACAAGAAAGATGGCCCAGCAAATAGTGTGCAGACCATGCAAGTCTGGTGGCTTGAGTCATTCCCCAGAATACATGTAAAAGCAGAAGAAAATTGACTCCATAAAATTGTACTGACTTCCACATACATATATATGTGTATAATAAATAACAATAAATAAAAATCAAATTAAAAAATAAAATAACAAAAATAAATACTTTGAGCTATCAGGCTAGAAAAATTAAAAGAGCTACCAATCTTTCATAGCTACTCATGGGAAACCGAATTGATACCAGTCATCTCAGAAAATAACCTGGCAATATCTTTAAAAGCTAGGGGCTACCAGATGGGTCAGCAGGTAAGAGCACTTCCTGCTCTACTAGGAGACCCAACTTAGGTTCCCAGCATTCACATCTCATAACTACCTGTAACTCCAGTTCCAGAGGATCTGATATTATTATATTCTGGTCTCTTCTAGCGCCTGGACTTACATGCAGGTACCCATACAAAGATACATGCATAATTAAAAATACATCTTTCACAAAAAAGTTAATCACACACATCCTTTTCCAAGGCCCTCCACTTGTAAAAGTTAATTCACTGAAAGTATAAACATTCGAGATTCTATTAGAACCCTACTTTGGGGTGGGGAGGTGACAACCTAGGGACTATACACTATCCAACTTTCAGAATCTTACAATAGAAAAAAATAATGTGATATACTGAATTTTATTTTATGCAGAATCATTATTTACTACATATACCGCAAGAGAATAGGGAATAATGGAAT